CAGTCCTTATAACAGCAATACTAGAAGCAAAAAGACAATGAAGTAATATCTTCAAAATATTTAAAGAAAATAATTTCCAGCCTAAAATTCTGTACTCAACCAAATGTTAACAAAGTGCAAGGAAAGATCAGGATATTTTCAGATATGCAACTATCAAAAACATATCTATCTTCCAGGCCCTATTTCTGAATATGAGTCACCAAAATGAGGGAATAAACCATGGTGAAGAAAGACATAGTATATAAGCTTGAGGATAAGGGAATTCCCAAAATGATGATGAAGGGGGATGGTAGCAGGACAGCCATGCCCCTGTGTATATAAGGCATCAGTCCAGACTGCAGGGGTATGACTCAAGAGAAAGCCGTGTTGAGGAGTGTGGTCACCAAGATGCCTTCTGCTCTTCTGTCATCTTTTTATTCTGAAAACGTAAGGGTGAGTCTGGCCCAGAGTCTTAACAGTACCTGGTCACCAAGGGCCATGTAATGTTGAAGCTCCTGCCTACCTCTTTGTCCCCTGCCATAGGCATTAGCTGAGTATACTCATTTCACCTCAAAGGAGTTCTTCATAGATTTATGCTGGAAACTGAAGTTGGCCATCATGAATCCAGAAGCAGAAAATGCACAGCAACCTATTGCTCCAACAGCATTTCCGCCAGATGACTGGTACCAGGCCTACATGTCAGACCAGCTGAGGACCCAACCATGGGCCTTGTGTCATGGTAGCATTCCTTCCACATATGGACCCTTATAATATTCATGGAAGCTGAAGCCAAACTAACTCACAGCAATTATTCCACCTGCTTTTTTCTAGAGTCTTTTTCTGACAGTGCCAATATCATTTCTTTGCTTATACAGCTAGGTGTGTGTTTGCTTTTGACTTTTTATAATGATTGCCTTTCATGGTCATTTATATGTAAAAAATAATAAAATAGCAAAATACTTCCTTGAGAAAAATAGGTAGATAAGAAAGACATAAATACACTTATGAAGGACATTAGAAACACGGGGACAGGTTTATGAAGTTGTACATTAAAATTTAAGTAATGTGCATAGTTCTGTTGAAACTAAAATTATCAAAGTATGTGGTCTGGGTTTAGAAGGCAATTTTCTAAAATTATTAGTTTTGTAAGAGTGTAGGAACATGAGTGATTTTCAATGTTGTTTGAATCTGTTGCCATATCATTTCTGCAACTGAGAAAATGTAAGTACAAATGCATCCGGTAGCTCTATAAATGACCATAATAGCTGTGACTTACTCCTGCGTATAACAACTAAGATGTTCCCAAAAGCTTCTGCCATAATGTGCATTTATACCTATTATCAATACTTCTCCTCCTCCTACTCTCTGTTTAGCCCACCATTCTACTGAGGTAGCCTTTCTCAAGGTCGCTAGCATCCACGTTCCGATGGTTAATTTTCAGTCCTCATCTTAAGTAGGCCCTCACCAGTACTTGGCAAGGTTGACTGCTCCTTCATACTTTAATGCTTATTCATAGATATTTCAGTATCTAGTTCTAAAATACTACATCACATAAATAACAGTGCTATGGTCCAAATGTTTATGTCCCCCCGAAATTCATATGTTGAAACCTAACTCCAAGGTGATGGTACTAAGAGTTGGAACCTTTGGGAGGTCATTAGGTCATGAGGGTTCCACCCCCATAAATGGGATTACTGCCTTCATGACAGGGCTTGAGGGAACCTGTTTGTCCCTTCCACCATGTGAGGGCACCTAAAAGGCACCATCTATGAGGAACAGGCCCTCACTAGATACTGGATCTTGCCAGAACCTTGATTTTGGACTTCCCAGCCTTCAGAACTGTGAGAAATTTCCATTGTTGATAAATTACCCAGTCCAAGGCATTTTGGTATAGCAGCGGGAATGGACTAAGACAAACAATATAACATAAAATATAATTACTAAATCTAAACACTGGACAATAATTTCTTTTTTTTTGTGAGACAGTCTCACTCTGTTGCCCAGGCTGGAGTGCAGTGGCGCAATCTTGGCTCACTGCAACCTCCACCTCCCGTGTTCATGCCATTCTTCTGCCTCAGCCTCCCGAGTAGCTGGGACTACAGGCACTCACCACTATGCTTGGCTAATTTTTTGTATTTTTAGTAGAGACAGGGTTTCACTGTGTTAGCCAGGATGGTCTCGATCTCCTGACCTCGTGATCCGCCCGCCTTGGCCTCCCAAAGTGCTGGGATTACAGGCGCGAGCCACTGTGCCCAGCCAATAATTTCTTTTTATCATCAAATATCTACTTGGCATCCAATTTACAATTTTCTCATGCATTTTAAATTATTTTTGAGTTTGGTTGTTGAGTCAAGATCTAAATACAGTCCACACACTGTGGTTGGATGGTGTTTCTTTAAAGTCCTTTTAAGCTATAGCTCTCCTCCTCCTTCCTTTTTTCTTCCTAGGCAATTTCTTTATTGAATAAACTGGATTGTCCATCCAATGGCTCTTTCCTTTTCAAAACAGCTTTTTTTCTTGGCTTCTAGGATGATCCTTTCTCTTGGTTCTCCTCCTACCTCACTAGCCACTCATATTTAGTCAGTGGTTCTTCTTGATCACTCTGACCTCCCAACTCTGGCATGTTCAGGGTTTGATCCTCACCTTGCCTTCTTCTTTATCTGCATTGATTCCCAGGTGAGCTCGTCCAGCCTAATGACTTGAAATACAACACCGTCTGAATGCTGATGACTCCCGAGCTGTGCCCTGAATCCTGGACTCTTACGTCTGGTTATTCAACATCCACAATTGTTTATCTAATAGAATTCTCAAGCTTAACATACCCTGAACTGACTCCTAATTTCCCCCCACCCCAAAATCTGCTCCTTCTATTGGCTTCTTCCCAAACATAGTAAATGATAATTTCATCTTTTTTATTTCTTAGGGCCAGAATCCCTGGAGTTATCCTTGATCCTTCTCTTGCTCTCATACCCCCATCTAATCTATTAGGACATCTGTCACATCTACCTTCACACAATCTGACCACTTCGCACAACCTCTGTCACTAGCGCCCTAATCTAAACCACTGTCATCTCTTACTTGCATGACTGAGATTGCTATTTAACTGCCTTCCTGACTTCTACTCTCTTTCCCTTTCAGTTTATTCTCCTCAAAGCAGCTGGAATGAGTCTTTTCAAATGCACGTCAGATCATGTCACTATTCTGCTCAAAAACTTCCCATCTCAGAGTAAAAGCCAAAGTCCTAAAGCAGCCTATAAGATCCTACATGATCTGGACACCGCCCCCTGACTCTCTTGCCTTCTCTCTCTACCTCTCTCTCTCATCCCACGCCACCTCAGTCACACTGGTCTCAGTTGTTTCTCAGATATGTGAAGCACACACTGATCTCAGGACTTTGCACCTGCTGTCCCTGGAACATCCTTCTACCATTTATCCACATGACTTGCTACCTCACTTCTTTCAGGTTTCTGCCCAGAAATCTTTCTATTAATGGGGAATTCCCTCATCTCCCTGCCTCTTTTACTTTGATTTTTACCCCCCACTCTAATACACACACAATTCCTCTCTCTTTATAGCACAGTTGCCCACTGATACATTATTTATTTGTTTGTTTGTCTGTCTTCTGCCTTAGTCTGTAAACTTGAGAAGTTATTTTATTCACTGCTGTATCCTCAGTGTGTAAAACAGCCTCTAGCATGAAGTATGTGTTCAGTAAATATTTGCTAGATGAATTAATGGTGAATGCAATAATACATACATTAGACTTGTAGGAAAAGTGGTTCTCCAGATATCACTGTACAGTGGTTTGAAAGCTTTAAAGGAAAAAGGAGGAGAAACAAATGGGGCTGGGGGATTTTTCTTTAAATAATATCATACTGCGCTCTCCTAACAGATAGTTAGAGAGGGACACCAAGAAGACAGTACTGGAATTGGAGGTGCTCTGAAATGCCATCTGCTTCATCTCTGAATGCAAGTCCTTGAAGAATGTTTTAAAAGGTGGACTACCAAGAAATAGGAAATTTATCTAACTCACCTAAGCCATAGGAAGTTAACTAATTGTTGAGAAACATTAAACAACTTCTCCTTCCCATAAAAAGCTGAAAATTGGAAAACCTGAGTCAATAGCAGTTGGATTAAATGGGATTGGAGATTGCAATGACTGGGAAGGAGATGTGCAGAAAGGCACCTTCTAATTCAACTGACCCCTTACCTTGAAAAGCTGTCCTCATAATCAGGAGCCACTCCTTCCTCATCCTTGGCTCACCTTATTATTTCAATCGAAGGACAATGCACAAAGGAAGAAGAGCATTTGTATTCCCTATGACCTCTAAAAATGTTTGTGGTAGAAATGACAGGTGCTGAAATACATTTCATTTTTAGAAGTTCAAATTTCCATATCCAGTACAGTGGCAAGAATAAGTGTGACATTACTTTTTTTTTTTTTTTTTTTTTGAGAAGGAGTCTCACTTTATCACCCAGGCTGGAGTGTAGTGGTGTGATCTCAGCTCACTGTAACCTCCGACTCCCAGGTTCAAGTGATTCTCCTGCCTCAGCCTCCCAAGTAGCTGAGATCACAGGCGCCCACCACCACATCCAGCTAATTTTCGTATTTTAGTAGAGACAGGGTTTTGCCATATTGGCCAGGCTGGTCTTGAACTCCTGACCTCAGGTGGTCCACCCGCTTCGGCCTCCCAAAGTGCTGGGATTACAAGCGTGAGCCACCGTGCCAGGCCAAACTTTACTTTCCGTGGCATTGTGAAGAAGGCAAAAAAGGTTTGAGGTGAGAAGAGACACAAGAGGGAGAAAATATTACCCAGTTTTCTTATTTGGTCTCTACTCATTCCTTTTCCCTCTCAAGCAGCATACACAACACACACATGTGCACGTGCACACACACACACACAGTCTGTGGGGAAAAAAATCTCAATCTCCCCCTTATGAAGGAAGTAGGATGTTACAGAGATATTATGATGCAATGAGGACCCTATGAAGGACACTGATAACATTGTGAGGTCAGGATTTTTACTGAAATGTTTGTCTATATGAAATGTATCAGACCTAAATCAGCTTTCCTACCTGCCAGCATCCTGGTGGCAAGTCTTACTCCTACCCGCAGCATGGGATTTTAAGATCAAAGGAATTAGACCTAGGGCAAAAACTGAGACAGCAGGGAGGCACTGTAACAACTGGAAAGTTTTCCAAATTGGTAAACTTGCAGTATTCTTTCTGTACAGAAGTAAAAGATCCCCTATGTCCCTATGGCTATCAGCAAGGAAAAGCATTTCAACATGGCACTTCAAATCAGCAATTTCAAAAAGGCTTTGAACGAGTTTGAAAAATTGGTTGAACAAACAGCAACCCAGAAAAGAGATGAAAGAGCAGGCTTATTTATCCATAAAGAAGGTAAGATCAGTGATTATACGATAGTCCAGTTGGGTCTGTTGGTTAGAACTGAAAAATGTTTTAAGCCATCAGAGAGACGTATCAGAGCTTAATGTGAAAGAATGGGTGCTGAGAGGGGATGAAGACCTGGGTTCTTGTTCTTTCTGTGTCCCTAAATAACAAAGTGGACATGAGGAAGCTTTTGTTTTGTTTTTGTTTTTGTTTTTTCTTCTCTGAACCTAAGTTGCTTCGATTGTAAAACTATGGGATTGGATTAAGTGACGTCCAGTGGTGTTCTGTAGACGCTGCCATTTGATGGCTCACGGGTTGACCTGGGATCCTCAGTAGTGTATAGCACTGCTCTTTCTTAGCCCAAAGATACCATGAGACCATAAAGAGTTTCATAAGAAGTGCAGCTTCCTGCCTCACCATGATTCCATTGTCTTGGCCACGCTCCATAGCTCTAGGCAGGAATGATCTTGAGGATGCAAGCTACGGAGAATATGCTGGACAGTGCTCTCACAGGAGGATTTGCAGCAGAGATACCAGTGCATAGACAAGATTCAAGGGGAGTGGTGTAGTGTACAGCTTTGGCATATTGAGGACAGCTGTGAAAAATAAAGCTAAATGGCAGAGTGGAAGACTAACAGAACAAACCCTGCTGTTGCAATGAAAGGAGCAGAGCCCATATAATTGCTAAAGAGATAGTATAGCCAGCCTCAGAGTGTGCCAGGCTGCATAGTAATATGTAAGTGAAAATCTTGACTTTGGGTGTTCAAACCCAAACTGGTATTAATTGAATAGTATTTAATACTTTATAGTCATATTAATCAATGTAATTATGTTCATTTTATTTGTGGGAAAAAATGGGAGCTGAAGATAAATCATTTGTGCAAGTTATCCAACTTCTTTTCTTTTCTTCTTTTTTTTTTTATTTTGAGACGGAGTTTCATTCTTGTTGCCTAGGCTGGAGTGAAATGGTGTGATCTCAGCTCACTGCAACCTCCGCCTCCCAGGTTCAAGCGATTCTCCTGCCTCAGCCTCCCAAGTAGCTGGGATTACAGGCGCCCACCACTATGCCCGGCTAA